CCTGGAAGTGTCCAAGGCCAGGTTGGATGGAGCTTGGAGCAACCTGGGCTAGTGGAAGGTGTCCCTGCCCATGAACTTTAATGTCCCTTCCAACCCAGACCATTCTGGCTCTATGTTTCTGTGGTGAATACTTCTCTGAACAAGAATAGTTTCATTTGTGAGCCACCTTCTGTTTTGGTGGGTTGCTGGATCAAAGGGGTTGTATTTGTTTTTGTCAAGGGAATATCAGATTTCCTGGTGTTCAGTACCAGCACAGCCTGGATAAATCTGTCACCTCCATGACCTGAGGCACAGTGGGGTAGTTGTAAAAACTGCAGCACAGAGCAGAGCTCTACCATGTGTGGGGAAGAGAAAGGGAGGGGAAGTTTTCTGAAGCTTCCTGGATTGGAGATGGCATCAGCCTATGACACTCTCTGAAGCTCGTGGTCCACTTGTGTTCTCAGCTCACAGATTTCCCATCCTGCAGGGACCAGAGTGCAGGAGAAACAAGGCCTGAGCTGCCCCGGGGAGGCTCAGGCAGCCTTTCCCTGGGGACACTGTGGTGCTGAGCAGGGAGGGGAGTTGCCCCCAAGGGTTAACCAGGAGCAATAAGCACCTGCAGGGTTAATGGGAGCTGTTGTGTGTGCTGTTAATGACAGATCACTTCTGAAGGAGGCCCCCAGCCGCTGTCCAACATCATCTTCTCCATGGACGAGGAGCGCGTGGCGCGGGTGAACAGCACGGGGCTGGTGCAGGGCGTGGCCATGGGCAGTGCCACGGTCACAGCAGTGGTGCAGGCTGTGGATGCAGAGACAGGGAGACTCGTGGTGGTGTCTCAGGTAATGTTTGGGGCTGAAAGAGGCTCTCTGACTCCTGGCTTTGGCTCTAAAAGGGGGCAGATAATCTTGTTGCATTAGCAGTGTTATCTTGTGCACTTCCCTGGTCTCCTGAAGATGAAAACACAGTGTTTCTTACTCCCTGGCCTGTGAACTTGCAGTGTGCTGGCACGGGTGGTTACTTTGAACAGGTGGGTAAATCTTGGTGTGCTTTAAACTAAAGTTTTTCGGATAACCCAGGGAGGTTTTATGCCCTGTGTGGTACCTTTAAAATTGATCAGTGCATCTAGAAAATCCCATCTAAAGAAGCTTTTCTAACACAGCAGGAGGTTGTCCTTGCCTGCATCCCCTTACAGCTTAGCATGCCTTAGGTCAGTAGGATCCAGAAGGCAACTGTAGCCCAAGAAACATGTTGTCTGTTGAGCTACAGCAGTTTCTGTCACAGCTCTCACGTGTGCTGTGCTCTGGACAACCTATCTAGAGGTACCAGCAGTGAATCCCTGGTATTCCTTCAGAATCTGTGTCCTTAGAATTTCCTACAGCTGAGCACAAGGGAGCTGAACAGGCCTGTAAGAGAGCACAAGTCCCTGGCACTTGCATAAGGCTCAGAGCACCAGAACTTGGGCCAAATCTTATGACTTATTCCTTTGAGGTCAAGGCAGCACAGCTGCTGTGAACCATAAAGCTCTGCTGCTTGAGAGATGTCAGCACAGGCCAAGAGGAGACAAAGTGACTTTTTAAAAAATAAAATATAAAGGAATCTATGCTTTTTAATGCATGGGCAGCAGTCTGCCCCGATGCTGTGGCAGGAGGCAAAGTGAACTTGAAAGCTGAATCTGCTGCCCAGTGAGGTTCCAGGTCTGACCTTTCCTTCCCAGTGGATAGCAGGAATAAAATCTATCAGGAAAGTCAGGATATGTGAAGAGAAGACATCAGAGTGTCACACATACCATACTTTTATTCTGGATTGTTCCCTTTCCTGCTCTGCAATCCTCATTGCCTTCTAATCCTCTCAGTGTCGTCCTTTACTGCCTGGGTTTATTCATCCCTGTTCTCCTGGGGACCGCTATGATCTTGTCCCTTGCTGTCTGTCACCTCTCAGTTCCATCATTCATAGCATCACTAATTCTGAGCAGAGCTTCTTTTTTCAATTTAGAGGGCATTTTAAAATGTTTATCAATGTAAAGTTAATCCTGTTGTAGTTTTTTACAGCCCTACTGAATTTGTCCATCTGTGTTTTTGCTGACAAGTCACGTGCAAATCACATGGCAACAGTGATTAGATAATGGCAAAATAGTGGCTAGAGCCTGAAAGTGAAACCTAGTCCCCATCTGACAGGTGCTTACAATGCCTTCCCTTCCTCCCTTCCAGGACAAGGTGGAAGTGGAAGTGGTACAGCTGACAGCTGTCAGAATTCGGGCACCCATTACCCGGATGAAAACTGGTACTCAGGTGAGTTGGTTTGGGATTTGCTTCTCTTGCCTTAACATGTTGAGCTGCACATTGGGACCGTTCCTGTCAGACCATCTGGTGATGGCACTGCAGCTCCCAGTGGCACCAGGACTGCTGCAGGAGGGAATGTGCTGGCAGAGAGAAGCTGCCCTGTGAGGGTGGGGAGGCCCTGGCACAGGTTGCCCAGAGAAGCTGTGGCTGCCCC